CTTGTTAGCCGTCACCAGCCAGCCATGCCTAACCCGAAGGATGACAATGCCCGAGATTCGAACTCGCGACTTCATTAGTTAGAAGTTCGGCACTCTTACCACTACACCACGGGCTCGTTGCCTCGCTGTTTTTTTAGTAAGCTAATGAGTGCCAGGTAGGTAAGATGCAGTTGCAGTTCAATTCACATAAGAACCGAATTTGTTTGTCTTTGGGTAAATGTGAAAGAAAGCAGAGAGCGGTTAGTACCGAACCATTTGCAACCCCCCTGCGGCGAATACGGGAACCAATAATTTTGACATGACATGCAGGCGCATTGCAAATCCAAAGTCCAACACTTAGTCAGTCAGATAATTATTGCGCCACCTGCATCAATTTACGGTGTACATATTTGAGAGCTACGAATTTTGAAAGACATGCAGTGACATAGCAACTGAAGCAACTGTGTGCGACATACTACACTCTATTTCATTCTGTCTCTGATAATGGATTTGCGAGATGATCCCAAACGGCAAGCGAATAAAGTTTTTTGTCCAGCGTACCTTCTAACTATGGTTTTATATAACTTCTACTCATTCTAGTTAAGTAGGCACACTGGGGCAAAATTCGGAAGTGCCCACTCGAAATCTTTCACCAGACCACTAGGGTAGTTTCTAGAAAACTGAAAGAAGACAAGGAAATAGGCGAAGACGGTGCGATAGGGCGCGCAAAGAAACTAAAGGTCCCACTGTTTGTGGAACCTACGTGAATGTCTGCGAAATCGGCGACTATATGGGTAAAGCGACAGCGGATGAATTCTCGCGACCTGGTGAGTTACTGGCAGAAAACCACCAAAGGGCTAAGCAGTTCAGCTCTGGTTGGTCTGCGCATCGTAACGAACGTCTCAAATATTTCTATCAATTTTCTGTCTGCGTAAGTGAACGTGAGCTCACGCTAAGTAATTCCAGGTTAGCGATTAATTTTCGAGGAAATAACCAAGGCAGCTAGATCATAGTCCATTTTCATTAAACTATAGCGTCCCTCGAAATGTGCGAAAAGCTCATTCCTTAAACCATTCCCACACCAAAAATTTTCAATGGGTTTTGACCAACCTGAAGAGCAAAACAACCACTGAAACAATCTCTGGCTGGCCGGGAAACATCACATCTGTCGAGAATGCCGATCCCGATCACGACAAGCAGGATAAAGAACGTGATCGAAATGCCCTCCGCGGCCTGGGAGTAAACGTAGGCTGCCTGAAGTGCGTTATTTTCAGTTGTTTGGCCCGGCCAAAGAAACACGGAGCAGAGAATGGTATTTGCCAAAGCAAGTCCAGCCAGAATACCAAGCAGTAAGTTGGTCAGTTTCGAAGTAAACAGTTGAACATAGTAAGTGAATCGGGATTCTGCTTTCGTGGTCTGGTTGGCATCTGCGGGAAGCGTCGTACGGGTGGGCTGGTTGGCGCCTTGCAGCTCAAAAGGGTTAATTGCTGGTAGAGGCTCGGTGCGAAAACGATGTACGTGCTCGCGATAGAGTTTCGGAACTTGTTGGTTCGCAAGGGGCCCAGGACTGTATCCTACAGGGTAAGAAGGTAAGAAGGACAAATAATTATGGGCCAGACTGCCGTTAGGGGTCCTTGTTGCCTTTTACTCATAACAGTAACCTACTTATTCATTTTCAGTAACCCGACTTTCCCTCCTTTTCGTTATATTCCGCCAATATAAGGTCGATTTTCCCTTTTTCGTTAAATTCCGCCAAGATAAGCTTGAATTTCCCTCAACTGTGTTTGATTCAATTTAGTATATTGAAACAAATGTAAGCTTCTTTAATTTAATAGTTTTTGATCAGTTCCACCACAATTAAATGTTCATTTACAGTCACTAACCAAGAATTAGTTGTTTGATCACGAAATACGTTAGGCAGTAGGGCGGGGATAATAAATAGTTAGGAGGTCCTACAAGACAGCTTTGCATAATTATGATTGGCTTGAACTGTCGCTTTTTTTCCCCAAGATTTTTCATACATGCAGTCTGCGCGGTCGTCTCCTAAAACTACGCCCAGACAAAGCAAGGATCGACGAACACAAGTTTTCTTCAGAAACAAAAGGATTGCAACGTAGAACGCTCTGACCGAGGATCTTGTTCTCACCACCTGTGTAAATTTATCCAAGGATAAAATGGACACTCATGAAGCTGCTCACCTCCCAGCTACACGCCATAAGCAAACCAATTACGTGTGATTACACCACTCATAATACTGTACGCGCCAGAATTCGTGCAACATGCCAACATACGCGAAAGATTGATAGTCTTGCTAATCGGCATTGACGCAGGTTGTGATAATAGTTATTGTGTAGTCTTTTCTGAAGCTACTTCAGTCATGATAGGATGTCAGCTTTTTAACGAGCTTAGTTCTGACCGCTAGTAAAAGGCATATGCTGTTAAAGGTAACTTCTTAAATAATATGCGTATTTATAACTGATTTGGACTGCCTTTATAAATTTTAATATATTTTATGGAAAACATAAAGGAAAAAATTATTTTTGGTACTCCTTTGGTAGCAAATTATACCTCCCATAAAACATATTTGAATTTATAAAGGCAGTCATAATCAATGATAAATACGCATATTATTTAAGTTGTCAATTTAAACAGCATAAACGATTTACTAGCGGTCAGAAAGAAGCTCGTTAAGAGCCGACATCCTATCATGACTGAAATAAATTCAGAAAAGACTACAGGATATTCAGTATCACAAGCTGAGTCAATACCGATTAGAGAAAGAGTACCAATCTTTCGCTTATGTTGGCATATTGCACGATTTCAGGCGCGTACTGTAAGTAAGTAGAGCGACGATACCCATGTTATCGTTCAAGAAGTCAGGTTGAGCGAAGGAACATCTTTGAGTTTTCATCATCAGGCAATTATAATAATACAAGGGAGGGTGAGATGACGAAAGTTAAGCATCCAATCAACAGGAAACAAGGACGCAGAGAGAGGGTTAAGAGATCGGGGGTGATATTCTAGTCATATTAAGGAGTGCGTCGTCACTGTGACGCGAAGTGGTAGCTGTGCAGACGCATGCTTAGGTCCTGCGTTAGCGGATACTTGCGACTACAAAGGCAGTCGCCATGCCGTGAACTAACCTGTTTTTATGCGCACAAAAGGCGTTTATACAGGCCCGAAGGCTCCCTTAGCCGAAGACTAAATCAAAATACATGTCCACGCGCCCTACCACGCCACGTTACAGCGAGGACGCAGTGATTTAAACTAATTGTCGGGCCCCTTCCCTCTTAGGAGATTAAAGATGGCTTTGAGGCCACCAAATATATGTTTTCAATTGATCCGCCCGGATCTAAACATGACAGGAGTGAGTTATTCACAGTCAACTAAAGTCGATAAAATTAATTTTTCAAATACTGGCCCAAGTCTGAGACTATCATGTTGAGCTAAGCATGGCGGCTTATAAGGCTATAAACTAGTAATTATACTCAGACGTGATCTCTGGCACCCTAACTCATGTGAGGTGTTGACCAATCAATCCTCGTTTGTGCTTGTGTTTGGGTGGCTATGTTGTGTTTGTAGTAGGCGTAAAAGATGTCATCTGATATATCAACAACTACGCCGCGCAAGGATATGCGCTTCTAGTTCGGTGCATTCGGTTCAAAGTGCAAACGATGTTAAATCCTCAACTATAAGCTGTAACTGTAATGTAAGTTAGAGTACACCATCTTGATGGCAGTAAAATAAGACAGGTAGGAAAGAGGAATGGCAATCCGTTTTCAGCGAGCAAGTAAGAAATTTCACAGTGTTTAAAACACAATGTATTCAGTTCCTCCGTCATTTGCAAAACACAGCTCTAATAAAATACGTTCAAAGGTTGGTGCGCCAAAACTGGTTCTGCCTGAGATTTTCATGATCATTGCGGGAATTCGAAGGTAAGTTCAGAAAGGTTTTTTATTTTTAGAGACCGGAACTTTATGAAATGAAAACTAGAAAAGTTGTTGTAGAGTAAGGGATGCAACACGAGAAATAAAAGAAAGAGGTGTCGGTTGCGAGAGGACAAAGACACGGAAGAAAATAATTCTAATAAGAAGAGAAGAAGAAGGGTCGTAAGAGGTCGAAGACAACAAAAGAGGACATTTATGGGCACAAACAAGAAATCGAATAGAAACTAGGCGACGGTTAATTTATTCTCACTTACTAGTATAAGCAGCGAGCATTACTGGCGTTGCACCAACTTCTAATTCATTGTATTTTGTTTGTCGAGTGTTCTGTCGCACGGTATTGGTTAAACTTCCCTGAATGTCACCCTGAACGGCTCGCAAGTAGGTATCGATTCCAGGGCTGGAGGTACGTTTTGGCAATGAATGCTGCGGTTGCGGCAGTGGGGTTTTCTTTTGTTTGGGTTGTTTCTCATCCATCTTAAGATGTTGTGAAAGAGCAGTTTATCGTATCTAAGAATTCTGAAAACATATTGACAAGCCCAGCTATAACCTTTTGTCAGGCGTGACTATTAGACACTTGATTCTATAAACGTTTACACCAAATTTAATTTTCATATTAGGACTATGCTGACATCTACATGTGTCCTTGTGGAAGGACAAAAGTGTTGACAAAAACAAAGCCGTGTAGACGGCGTAGGCTTCAGTTAGAAAAATAACTAATCTAGTTGGCGCGATTAATTCTGTACAGAACCACTATGGTCGAGCGAAAGAGGCAATGTATCGTCGAAGACGGTTATGCGCCTAAGCGTTCAACATGAACATGTAAGAGCGCGTGTCATCGTTTTAGACTTATCAAGCAGCAGGCTGTGTCCATTCGTCGGTGTGGTCCTCGCCCAAAACTCCGAGCGATTAAGTCTTGCTGTGCATGATATGTCTGCCGCCCTGAGGTGAAAAACTGAGGTAAAACTGGATCTGCATAGGAGATTTCAGTATGTTTCTTTATATTCAGGTAGGCACTTTTAACTCTTAACCTTTCAGCTTGCCCAAAAAAGGCATGCAAACTGTCTCCGATCCCTCAATTGAATAAAAAATGTTAAGCTATCAACATGTGCAAGGAATAACCACGTTCAACAGTCTGGATGCTGAGCATCAATGTTGAATTAATCGTTTGCAAGCGCAACTGAGTATACACTAACTTTTTCTTTCGACATAATAAACTACTCATCAATGGATTAAAATTTTTAGATCCAGTTAGAACATACGCATAGAGCAAGCTTCAAATGTCTAGTGGATTTTTTTACAATTCCCTGTCGCCGATATAGTCTTTGTTTGCAACTCATCTAAATGATCATCCAAAGCTATTGATGATGACATGTGGGAATTCCAAAGAGCCCTAAGTAACTTTTCTAACCATCTCCTAAATAAAGGCGTCACAGAAAATAAAAATAAAAGAACTCAAGATGGAGGCCTCCAAGAACAGTGCCCCCAAAGTGGTTCATGTTGCTCGTTTATGTCAAGCCTCTTCGATAGGACCCTCGAAATTCCGCCAAAAAACCTATCTTCAAAACCATTTTCACTGAAAATATCGTCAACTTGTGTCATGGGGTATTTTAACACCGACTGGCACTGCATACTTCAACAAGTATGATTCACAATGTAAATCAATATGATTAGCTGTTTGGGAAAAGAAGAACATATAACTATCAACTAGTTCCGAGTAAAAAAAATAGGTATGGTTTTCACAGTTAATACAACGGTATATCCCTGCATTGTGGATAACCTTTCGCCTCGTCAATACATGACACTTCTTGTTCACGACGCATCGATCAACTGCATATAAAATCTGCTTATTTTGGTTAGTGTTCATAGTCAGCAGCGGGGCGTTCACCAAAATATATGTAATATTAACGGTATCGCACCACAGGTAATAAGACGAGTACTCATTGACTCTGACTGATAGCGCATGATCAAAACTTTCAATAAATATTTTCACATGTTTACTACTGGTTCGATAAGGCTATATCCAGTTATTTTTCTCTGAAGACGTACTTCCAATTGGGTTGTGGTCTGACAGACAAGCACCGTAAAAGCTGGTGATATTCACACTTTTCTGCGTTGATGCTCGCATTTTTAGGCTTTTAGTTGACATCGCAAGAAACAAATGTTCGTTCCAACGTGTAATTCACAATTCTTAGCATATTTTGTGGCAATTAGACGCGTTGATTCCCACTGACGCTGGAGCGTGATTTGAGGTTGACGTCTGGGGAACTTGCTTAAGGTAGAGATTGCGAGACTAGGATCAAGTCGGGTTTCATATTCCCGAATGTTTGTTTAAGGTAGGCGACCAGCACCAATGAGGGTGGAGTTATGAATATAATTGCGGTACAGACCTGCAGAAATAGAAGAATTGTATTATTTAGTCTAGTGCCATACCTAAACCTTCTGTACTCTGTTAGGACTGACGCAGCTGGCCCAAGGCTACTTGTCAGTCAAAACCAAAGTCAACTTATTTTGACGCTAGTTCTTGCCAAGGGCATTTACAATACCCACTACGTCAGAACGAGCTAGAAAGTCAGTAATGTAGGCAAGAGGTCAACAATATCTCCATGCGTTAATATCATCCCGATTTTTCGAGCTTAAGGATAGCCGCTTAGGCTTTATATCTCAGGCAGATTACAAAAAAACAAAGCTTGGTCGTTGATTATCGATCGAGTTATAGAACATATACCGGGGCGTTAAGCACCAACTTCTAAAAATATATACTTCTTACTGAATGGGAAGAATGGATAACTTCATAGTGCAAGCTGACGGATTTCGAGTCTTTTATGGAAGAACCAAAACTACACTTTCTAAGTTACAAAACCATCCTCTTAAGCTAGAAGAAAAAGTTGTAAAGTAACGCCTTGCTACCCTGCCTGTCCCAGCCCCACCAAGTCCCTTCATGCCCCACGGTGCAGAAGGGGGCACGGACGTATTAATACGTTGAGGCTCAATCCTGAGTGTTCCCAGCAGCCGTACAGATACCGGATGAGGAAAAACCGGAATATTAACTGCCATCCTTTAGAAACAATGATTTGCGAATCTGAAC